CTCTGGGGGCCGCATCCGGCCCCCAAGCCTTAGGTTGCCTACCCCTGGAAGTAAAAGCAAACTGCTGCAGCCTCTCCTGGGTTTTGTGTTCTTCAACACTATTAACTTTTGGCATCTCAACCACACTTAGATGTTGCTTGGCCGCCTGTGCCCTGGTTTTCATCTGTGAAATGATGGAGAATATGAGACTGCTCTAAGCTGCCACCTTGGATTCAGCTCACTTTTGTTGTCAGCAACAAGAATACTACTACTACTTATTATTATGATTATTATGATGATTATTATTAATGTTTATTTCTAAAGCACTGTCAATGTACACAGCGCTGTACAAAAAGACAATCAAGCATAAAATAGAATAAAAACCTGCCAAAGGCGTACAATCTAAAATATAAACAATAGGTAAAATAAAAAAAGTCAATTAAAGCAAAAGACAATTACAACAATTAATTGGCAACATCCACTGTCTACCCAAATGACAGTGGATAAATTATAATAATAATAAATTATTTATTTATGGCCCGCCCAATTACAAGGAATCCAGGTAGGTTACAGCAATAAAAGTACATGGAATACAATAAAATTCAAAATTAGTCCCTTCCCAACCTGGCCCCCCCAACCCAATACTAAAATTTCAATAAAGAAGGCAGAAGCCAACCTATTTTCCTAATTTATTTCTGTTTTGTTTATTAAGCACTATTAACACACACACAAAGAGCAAATGTGGTGTAGTGGTTTGAGTGTTGGACTATGACTCTGGAGACCAGGGTTCGAATCCTCGCTTTCTCGGCCATTAAACCCACTGGGTGACCTGTGGCGCCACTATGGGGGTGCAGGGGGGTGCGGACCACACCAGGTGACACCCTAAATACAGGTGACCCCACTGGTCCTCAGACATCTACTTTTTGGCAGAAATGGGTTGTAACACTTGCCTGTATCCCTTTAAAATACTGAAGAGATGAGTTGAGCGGGGTGAGGCTCGTTGATAAGAGAAAGAAGAGGCTTCAGGTGTTGTTGTTTTTTAAATTAAAAATTCAAATTTCAAAATTGTAAAAAAAAATTAAAATAATTTAAAAATAAATTATTGAAAAATATCACATTTTTTCAAACGTTCACTTTAAGCACATAAAACAACATCTATGTAAATACATTTATTCTGTGCATATGATACTGTGATTTAAAGGCATCGCTTTAATTGCGCCAGCCGTTTTGCATCACAACTGGTACCACAATATTCAGTGATACTGTTTATTTTAAAAGATCACATATTTCAAACGTTCACTTTAAGCACATAAAACAATGTCTATGTAAAGACACTTTTTCTGTGCATATGATACTGTACTTTAAAGGCTTCATTTTAATTGCACTAGTCGTTTCACATCACAACTGTTACCACGCTATTCAGTGATACTGTTGGCCCTCCTTATCCACGATTTTTTAATCCATGGATTCAAGCATCCACGGCTTGAAAATATATATATATATTTTAAAAAGTATGAATTCCAAATAGCAAACCTTGATTTTGCCATTTTATATAAGGGACACCATTTTGCTATGCCATTGTGTTTAATGAGATTTGAGCATCCACGGATTTTGGTATCCGCAGGGGGTCCTGGGACTAAACCGCAGCAGGTTACAAGGGCCCACTGTATATGGGAATTAGAATTTATGAGTAATATTAATACAAAAAAGAATATTATTAAGGATTCTGTATGGAGTGGGATGAGAGGAGGTCAATACGGAGGGTGACACCGTGAGTTACCGCACCGGATGATGCCAACCTTAAGGACACCATTGAGTGACCTTGGGTAAGTCACATCCTCTCCGACTCTAGACACCTGGGTTCGATTCCTGCTCAAACACAAAAGCCCACTGGGTGACAGTGGACAAGTCACACTCTCTCAGCCTCATAGGAAGGCAATAGCAAACCCTACTCTGAAGAAACCTGCCAGGAAAACCCTATAATAGGCTCACCTTAGGGTCACCGTAAGTCAAAAATGACTTGGAGGCACACTCAATTGTAATATGTTACTTTCTGTGGCCATTCAAATGTTTTATGTGTTGTAAACTTCATGTTTAACGGATTTTGTCTTTGATGTTTGCCTACGGTCTGTCGACTACAATAAAGGCTTTTATTTTTTCACATGGAGCACACAACAGCAAGAAAATATTATGTATTATATTTTAATAGAAATAAATATAATGTGTCTTGTGTTGTTTGTTTTTAAAAGAAACAGGCCAAAATAAATAAGAAGAAATACAGTATAAAGTCTTGTTGTTGGAGATCAGAGGTATCCCTTGGCTTTTCCCTCTCAGGTTTTGGATGGTTTCTTCCTCCCTTGACTTGAAAGGGACACAACAACAAATAATGCTTATTTTTTCACTGCAAAAGGGTTAATCCTACCAAGCTTGGCTTCCTAGAGAGGAGAGGAGATTGCAAAGCATTGGAGGTGCTTTTATTCCCCTGTAATAGAAAGGAGTGAAGGGGAGGAAGAGGAAAAAGAAGAAAGAAGAGATCTTGCTCCAAATCTCTTTGCAGCTGCAACAAGGAAGGAAGGAAGGAAGGAAGACTGTAAAAATCAGCTAAGAAGGTGAATGAAAGAAAGAGTGGGAGAGGCAAAGCAAAGGAGGAAGGAGCAAGGGAGAAATATTGGGGGGTATAAGAGCCCCCCAAAGCCTTCATAAAACCCCACCACCAGCAGCATCCTTTCTACTCAACTCCTTCCAGATCTGGAAAAAAAGAAGGGCATGTTCCCTGGAGGGGTGTGTGTATATGTGTGGCATCTACACTGGAGAATTAATGCAGTTTGATACTGCTTTAACTGCCCTGGCTCCACTGCTATGGAACCAGGATTTGTAGTTTGGGGTGGCACCATAACTCTCTCTCAAACCTCTGACAAAAGCTACAAACCTCTGGATTCCTT